GTGATCTTAGAGATTAAAACAGGCATAACGGCTTTTGAGTATATCCAGGTTGTCAGGCCTAGTAGCCGCAAGGGATCGATTATCGAGCTTCTCTGCCCCTTGAATCCCTCAGAAACTTAATTTCCGGCTCCAAATACTCACCCCACACAACGGGATCCGCATCTTCTTGCTGCACCCGCATCCCCAACTTGCCGCCACGATGTCATCTTCCTGATTTGGAACAAAAATGAGCAGTACAAATTAGCTACCCTGGCCACCGACTTGAAGCAGTACTGGCACCCTGTCTCGCACATGGTTTTTTGGCGCTGAAAATGGTCATTAGATGCATAAGCCTAGCATCAGGTTAAGCCTATGCCCAAGCCCAAGCTCATGCCTAAGCCAACGCTTTAGCCTAAGCCCAAGTCTAAACCTGAGCCTAATTGTAGGCCAAGCCCAAGCCCAAGCCCAAGCCTCAGCCTAAGCCTGAGCCTAAGTCTAAACTCAATCCAAAGCCTAAACATAAGCGAAGCTAAGCCCAAGCCAACGCCTAAGCCCAAACCTACCATTGTCGAATGAAAGGTCTGCGTGTTGACGTCAAGGTAGCATTCTAGAGCCTCTGCGAAGCGGAACGTGCCCAGCGCTAGGAGTGCCGCGTACACGGCCAATATCTGGGGCATCTGAAATTAGGGTGGCACGGATGGTGCTCTCTAGAAATGCCGCCAGAAAAGCCACGGCGTGAACAAGACAAATGGCGGCCACTAATTAAAGAGTCAAAAAGGCGGCGAAGAGAACAAACAACAAATTACAAAGAATTAGACGCTAAGGTCAGGAATGGAAAGGTTGAAATCGATGTCGACAAAATGAGTCGTTCGATTAGAATTTAATTGTGCTTCTAAATCGTCAAATAGTCCTTCTTTATAATTGTTTGAAGCAATTTTTAGGAATTTTAAGGGCGTTTTTGGGGCGCTATCCGAAAACATAGGTTGACGGGAATAAAGTTTTTGTTACTTTTTATTTTTTGAATAACTTCAAAAGCACAGCATAGTAATATCAACAGTATATGCAATCATCGTCTATGACTCGTTGTCAGGCAGCCTTTTATTTATTTATTTATTTATTCTGCGCACAAGGCGCCGTTGCACACGCAACGAGGTAAAAAAGATCACAGTATGAGAAAAAAAAAATCACAGAAAGGGGGGAGGAACCATTGAAAAAGAAAGGTGGAGGATGCGGGGTTTGTGACGACAAAGTTTGTGACGACAAGACAAGGATCCTTGGGCTGTTCTAGATCTGCTCGATGTAAAAGCCGGGGCACAAATTTCCCAGTTCAAAATCGGACGACATTGATCAATTTATGCTTCACGGATGCAGAATCGGCAAGGACACTGTCACTAGGTAAAAAGAAATGCAAAATTCTGAAAATCAAGTCGAAAATGTAGCAAAAATTAGCCCCCAAAGGACTGGCAAATGGGCGTGCCCAACTCGCTAATTTTCGGGAGCTCTCTCTCACAAATCGGCGGGCGCCCCCAATGGCACCGCAATAAACGCACATCGATCATGAAGCTGGCGGGTGTGGGGCCACCCCTGGGATGAATAAAATATGGCACTCTCATCGGCCAACCGCGTCTCGATTCCGGAAGCTTGCGGCCTGGGGTTCATTTTTTGAGGCCAGTTCAGGGCAGGTGGAGCGTTGCGTAGAGATATTTAAGAAATCTGATTTGATGGGTTGAAAGTGAAGGTCGTATCGTAAGGAATCGATGATAGCGCACCAAAAAAACCCTCGTAATTTTTTTTCGTCGTAGGCTTGGAGCCTGCCGCTTTGGTGTTTAAAGGGTATCGCCAGTACTCTTTTCGGTAGGGATATTTCAACACAAAATATTTTTCTACCCTACAGTAATGAAAATTCAAACCAAAAGTAATGATGACGGTTGGGCGTGAAAATCTATTTTCTAGGGTTTAAGAAAGTTTTTGTGATGTTTCCAAAATCCCAAAGTTTTGAAAAATATTAAAACGCAAGACAAAAACAATATATCACGAGCGAATTAAGTTAAAAACGCTAACAACAGGCGTTTCCGCTTGGTTTGGAAGCTGCCGCAGCGTCTAGCGCACCAGTTTTTGCGATAAATAAATGCCAGGACCTTTGAAATTTGTGAAGAGGAAGCAGAAGAAGCCGTCGGGACAAATTGACAGCTTTGAGAAAAGAAGAACCCCATCCCCTCCCCGGACCCGTCCGCACAAATATCAATCTTCCGGGGCCCACATTATGAGTTTTCCTTTTTTAGATTAGACCCGACTGGAAGCGACCGGAAAGACTCATTTCAGTTTTTTCGTCGGAACCCTGTCTTTGGCATCCCAACGAAAAACGCCGAAAAAAATTGCAAATAGGATATTTTAGATTTAGAATACTTATAATATTTATTCAGGCTCGAAAATTGGACCCATTTTATTTATGTCTTATTATTGATTGTCCTTATTTTCTTTTTAACCAATTTTTAATCAAAAAAAATTTAAAGAGATTTAGAATTTAAAATTTAAAACTTAATTCGGTTAGTTTAGTTGGTTAAAATTAGTTTCTAAGCCGGCTTCAAAACAAATTTAATCACATTTCCATAATTTTGATTTTTTTATGAAGTTTAAAACAAAATTATTGCACTTCATTATCAGGAAATTTTATACAAATGTCAGTTCATTAGTTGAGAACCCGCGGGATAGCAAAGAAATGTCAATTGTCACGATGGTGCGGCTTCACCCGAAAATTTGACACACTGTTCCCTCCAGCGACGCCGAACAGAATTCACCCGTTTTGGGCATCGACACGAGGAGCGAGCTGCAGGATTAAACTATTTTCAACGATTTTCTGGAATTTCCTAACTTTTTCTGAGCAGACGACACGCGGCAAGAGTGGTTCCAGCGGCTTCACAATCCGCTCTTTCGACTCAGTGGGGGTTGGGACGCATATTCTGAAATCAGGGAGAATCAAGGGAAGCCACTAAAGGACTACGGCTTTCCCATTTTAAGAAATATAGAATGTCGGAAAGCTGAGCAGCAAGCTAGCATGAATTTTTGAGGATTCTGACTGCTCGACTTTAGTCTTTTAAGCAGGCTTGGGCCTAGGCTTGAACTTAGACTGACGCTTGGAAGCAGGTCGAGGAGAAGCAGGCATAGGCTTAGGTTAAGGCTTGGGGCTTGTTTTTGTTCGGGAACATTTGCCACCTCATTCAAAATCTTCATTAGCCGGGCAGAGTTGCCTGGCCGAGTCGCCCGTCGATCGAAAAAGACAAATTCTAGAATTTCGCAAATTACCTGGACCGAAAAATCAAATCAATACCATCCAGCGAGTTCGGGTCCCCGGATTCAATCGCCTCCCTCTTTTTACGACCTAGAAATGTCATACTCCAACAATTCAAAAACACATCCCCTCCACATCCGCCTCCTCCTCCGCCACAGCATGGCGGCGGTGAATAACAGGGTTGAGGCGGTGGTGGGCACCTAACAACATGGCTGCAGTGGGGGAGGACAGCAGCAAGGTTGAGGAGGCGGCTGACAGCAGCAGCCCCCTTCGCCTCCACCTCCGCCTCCACAGCATCCGCCTCCTCCACCTCCACAGCCCTGAAAAAGAATTAGTAAAATAAGTGGCAGTTAGACACTTAAGATTAGTGCCCACTTGCTTGAGGCATAATACAGGCGATGGCGCTGCCGACAGAGGAGTGCAGTAGGATTAGAGTTGCATGATGATCAGGTATGACAGCGGCTACTTAGAGCATTTATAGGGATAAGCCTGTCCTAACCGAGACGTAGAGTACCGGTTGAGCGACTAGCCCTGTCTCGAGTCAGCATAAGCCGAGAACACCCCAGCCAATGCCGGTTTGTCTCAACGAGCCGGGAGGTTTGTTCCCCGTCTCTATCTCTCCTCCACTCTCTCTCTCTCACTCTCTCTCTCTCTCTCGTTCTCTCGCTCTCTCTCCTCTCTGCGGGACTGGAGGTGGAAAGGTCTGGGTTTGGCTTGACACTGTCGCGGCAACTGGCAGCGCGGATTATGATGTTACAACTGTTCGTTTTCGGTCAATTATCGTTAACGCAAGATTTGTCGCATAACCAATACGTATTTGTGTCAGGTAATATTATTCGAAGGGGTGAAGGGAAGTCGGTTTGTTAGCAAAAATAAAGTTAAACAGTAGGGTGGCAACTTGGCAAAAATTCCATACCTCTCAGGGCACAATATTCATCATGACGAAGCCCAGGGAGAAGCTGACCGGCGACACTAAAAAATCAAGAATAAGTTGTATAGGAGAGATGGCGGGAGTGACAGAGGAAGAGCGAAAGAGTGAGAGAGGGAGAGCGAGAGAGTGAGAGAGAGACAGAGAGAGACAGACAGAAAGGGCCAGAAAGACCTCTGAAAGCCTACTTGCGCACAAAACCATGAATCTGTTATCAGCCAACGCCTTCACAACGCTCTCCCTCGATTTCGCCAAGTTTTTGTGCAGATTCTACAAAAAAAATGGGTTTTTAGTTTCAACCTCATTGATACCGTTTTCAAAATTCTCTTCAGCCGGATGGAGTTGCACAGCTCATCTTCAGTTGTACCACCAAGACATGAGAAGTAGCTAAATTCTAGAGCATATTTAGGAGCGCTATGGAAAAACTGCAAATTTCTAAAATTGCTTAAAAGCTAAAGATTTATCAAAGTACTGGGTGTCCCAAAAAGAAGCACCCCCTCTGGCGGTCCGGGGGAAGCTCAGATCGGGACAATTTTTATACCATTCGAAAGCCCTCGGAAAGGCGAAAAAACAAGCGGGATTTATTTTATGAGATTTATTTTTATATACGCTGGATATTCCAACGTTTTCTAAAAACAGGTAGATTTTCAATAGGAATTTCGCGATTAGCATGCAGATCTCGCGTAAATCTGCCGTTTTCTTTGGTTTTGGACGTAAATTTGCTGTAAAATAGATAATAAAGAAGATGAACCCTCACCTTGTTTTCTCGCCTTTTCAAGAGCTTTCGATGAATACAAACGATAAAAAACGGACACGACTGCGCGCCGCTAGAGAGAGTGCTTTTTTTTAGGACACCCTGTATATCAATACCCATTCACCGATCGCTTCTTCCTGCCATGCATTGCATAGCTGCCATCAGTCATTTGCG